AGGGCGGATCCAGCCAAAATTTTAGGGGGGGCTAATTGAGTTTCTTCGGTCAACACAACGGAAAACAATATAAAAAGGCATCGTGTTTTTTTTTTCTGCTGAAGGGGGGGCTTCAGCCCCCCCCCCCCCCCCCCCGGATCCGCCCTTGGTATCATTGCTATCAATGGTTGTACCTTACCTGTAACGATTGTGATAACTTGACGAAGTCTCTTTGAACAGTTTCGCTTTCATTCAGCTGAGAAGTCAACGACTGAAATTGATTTCTCATTCTGTTCATTTCAACCTCCAGTTTTTTCTATAAGTAAAATAATAATCATTCTAGAATTACTTCTCTTACGAAATTCTGAAATGAAAACAAATCTTTAAACAGCAGTTATGAGAAAGTCTTTGAATGATCTTTGGGTACCTTTTCCTCGCTAGCTTCCTCTAGTTGTCCTCTAAGGGCAATGATAACTGTTTTAGACTTGGCTTCAATATTTCGTAGCATTTGATCTGATTGTTGTAATTTTGTCTCCATCTACGATAACCAAATCAAGGATTAGATAGGAAAGGTTATGTAAAAGCGCCACATCAAACATCATATTTAATGCTAAATATTGCATAAATATTGCAGAGTCGATTGATACTCGCGGTTGTTAATCGCGCTTGACACAAGCGCGAGCGCACTGGTAATGGAACGAAATAAATAAATAAGAAAATCCCACCTCTTCTTTTTCTTTTCTTTCTTTTTTAAAATCTTCAGCCAGTTTACCTAAAAAGAAAGAAAGGATCCTTACGATACGAGACTAGCGTTATACACGATGTTACTGGCGTGACAGCAAAGTAGTGCTGTTCAATACCACGAAATCTGCTCCAAGCAATAATGGTTTGTATCATATCGATATTTGTCGCAGGGTGTGAACAAACCTATTTCTATTTTGTAGCCTTCTACATCAGCCTGGAACATCTCCTCCATGCTGTCTTTATTCATTTGTTCAGCTATCGCTCGGTCTTTCAAGAATGCAATCTACAAACATGCATCAAATCGAAACGAATAATAATCAGTTAACATCAAGAGAAGCGCAACCGAGCACAAAAGAATCAGTTTGCAAGGCGTCGGGTCTACTCCTTTTCCATACCTCACTCCGTAATTTTTCCTCTGTTCCTTCACTTGCAGATCGGATTTGCATCAGCTGTTCTTTCATTTCTGTTACTCGCGCGTCTGAGTCCATCTGTTGCCACAGGACAGAGAAATAAAAACAGCATATTAAATAAATGTCTGTGCGTCAATCTCGCCGCAGGCCAGAAGAAACGCAGGCTCTGGGTACGAGAGAATGTTTATACTACTTATTTGTAATTTAATTAATAATGAACCAGATTTCGTTTGACTGTGAAAAACCCACGGTAAGAACGTGTTGCGCCGTGACCATGACGGTGTAGTGTCTGAGCTTTCTGATAGTGACAGAGACAGCGACCGCATGCGAGGTAAGCGTCATGCAATATTTACTGTATGTTGTCAGTAATCAAATATACTTATTTACCTGGCTGAGTTGTTGAAGTGCGGAGTCCTGCAAGGCAATATACTCGGACCGTAGACGATTTAACTATTAAAACAAATTTACGGACAAGTATCATCAGGGATCGTACTTTTGGGAAAATACTAGAATTCGAAGTTAAGAATTAAAAATTAAATGTGCAAACGATTTAAATTAAAAATAAATTAAAAGACAGAATAGAATGAAGCATCTGACGATTAAATTAAAAATAAATTAAAACAGATTTCAGGAGATAGTACCATAGCAATAAATATTTATTCGCTTACCTCTTCCCTTAATTCGTCTCTTGATACAGTTAGTTTTTCCTAGAAATTGTAGACGAAAATCAATAGCGTTATAATACTAGCACGCATCGAAATAAAATGTCCTGCCATAAAATGTGGCGCATTCAAAACATCAATTTAAATCCAATTCTAAATTATTCTCTGGGCTGATCTAAGTCAAGAAAGGGCTAGTCCAGAACTGGACAAGTCTACCTCGTTTTTGTCTCGGTCCATTCCCCTACGGTCCAAGAGAAGTGAACCGTAGGGGAATGGAGCGAGACTAAAAACGGCTACAAGGGAGACTAGAACTGGACCCACTTTTCTCAATGCCGGGCATGAATAGTGAACAAAAGAAAAGCCTTAAAAATAAAGCGGGCCCACGCGCACGCGAGTGTATTAAAATTGAGAAAAGTGGGTTCACTTTTATCTTTACTCGTCCCAGTTCTCTTTTTGTTTCATCTGTGATTAAAAGGAATTCCAGTTCTGGATTAGTGCGCATGCGGCTAGCTCACAAAATTGGGATTTAGCCTTTTAGGTTTTGCGGAGTGACGAAGACCGGAGAACCCGGAGAAAAACCCTCGAAACCTGGGGAAGACCTCACAAACTCCACTCACATGCAATGCTGAGTTTAGGAAAGAAACAAGAGACCCCAGAGGTGAGAGGAGAATGTACGTTCGCTACGCCACCCTCGATTCCTAAAGGGTTAATAATCACTTACTATTTGCGCAGAGGCTTCTTTTCTTGTAGCAGCATAATTTCTTTGTACGTCCACTAGTATCTTATCTAGTTTACTCAACATGTCGGCCTGTTCGTTGATTTGTGTCTGCGCGTCCTGACCCGCGTGACCCACACTCAGCTCTAGACGACTGCGCAGCTTCTGTTCTTCGAATAACGCTTTCTGGAAAAAATCATTATCAAGTCATGATAAAATATATAAAAAAATAAAATACTTACATAATGTCCTCGTGATTGTAACCAGCGTGGTGTTTCTAGCTCCCGTCACAAGTAGCGCCCGTTGTAGGCAGGGTGGATAGCGCTGTCCCATAAATTTATTGGATAACAGAATCACTTTAAACAATGGATAAGGATTTATCCGTCAGATGGCGCTATCCACCCTTCGTACAACCAGGCCGTCAAGTTCATCAATGTAAGTCGACACACTTCACGCTATCCACCCCTTCCACTCAGAAGTTGACCTTTAGCGAAGGGAAGAAACCCGGAGTACCCGGAGAAAAACCCTTGTTGCTTGTTAAAGACGAGTTAAATTATGGAGCAGAATGGCTTTACTTACTTTTTCGTGCTCTAGAGCTATTTGCAGATTAGAAGAGAGGTTTTTAAGTTTTTGTCTTTCAGCTTCCACCTTCTGTAACTGTTTCTCGTAGTTACTGCACATGACACACGATCTGTTCGTTTCGCTTTCATGTAACACTTTGACCTGATTATAGAAGATATACACAACGAATGAATTTAAATGAATGATCAAATAAATAAATAAGAAGAAAGGAAGAAGCTAGAAAAAGGTTGTGTTTTCGCCTAGTATTTTCTGCAATAACTACAATCATGTTAGACCGCAATATCCTAAATGTTTAACTCAGAGCCTCAAATGCTTTAATTTTTTCATACGCAATGAAGTAAGAAGTAATGGGAATGAATGAATAACGGAATAAATGAGAATTGAAGAAAAGAAAAAGATTTTGTTTCCTAGTATTTTCTGCATTATTACATTACATATTAAACCGGAATATCCCTGTATAACTACTTCAAATGCTTTAATTTTTTCATACGTATTGAACTTCTAAACTATATTGCGTGGTCGCTTTATAAAGGTTGGCTGGTCGTTCAACAGAGGTGCGCATTCTACTTCAATGCTCCAAATAGAAGGAGAATTTTTTTTCCTTTTCTGTGTCATTTTACATGGAACTGTCCCACAAAGTGATCAAAGTTTTCAACCAAAGTGTTAGACTTACCAACACTCGACCTTTATTGTAACCTGCTGGAATTTTCAGAGCGCGCGCGGCAAGCGACCGGCGAAGCCCACTGGCGTACATACAGAAGACTTCATTAAAATTCTAGTGCCAAAACAAAATACCTTGAAGAATCAAAACTTTGACCACTAACCTCTTCCTGGAAAACTCGCCAATCAATCTTTCCTTTACTGGGCGTGCGCGGTCTTGGTTCCAAGTCCAGTAAGGGACTATGCCTGATGGCTTCCGCTTCAGCTTTGTCCTGCACGCCCAAGGGGAGAGGAGTGAGGTTTTCTGCGGACTTGGCTCTCGAGACGTCGATGTCATTAACTGCACAAACAGAGGAATTACAGTCTTTAATGAATGATTTGGATGAAAGGAAGATGGTTCTCTGGAGATACCACGCGAGAACATCCGTCATGATGGAGTCCACGAGAGAATTCCCAAAACCACAAATATCGCTGAACTAGGATCTCAGTGTTCTGAGAGTTGTCTCAAGAAAACTCGAAATAAAATCTAAACTCAATCAGTTCCAAGTTTACAGCAGTAAAACTACTTTTTTTCTTTGGCTTCCCGTTGCTCAAGGTCCTAAAATAAGGCCTTTCCTCTCTTCTCTGGTGTTCAAATCTTTTCAAATCTTCGAAATATCCGAGTCCTCGTCCAGAATATCATTGATAAATTTAGATGTTTGTCTAAATAATATTTCCTTGTTTTATCGGTGATATAATTGTCTAAATAAATGCCAAAAACATTGACAAAATAATGGTACAATTTCTAATCCAAAATTGTAATTTCTATATTCGTAAAAATATTATAATACAAAGCAACATGATTGATTTCACTTATATCTAAATGAGAGTCTTTAACATTAAATTTGTTTTCCGGTATCAACAGGTTATCCCGGAAGTAAAATTTAAGTTTCGTACAATTTTATTTCCGGTTCTTCACTACTCGGAGACCCTATTTTCATAAGTATCGTATAGCACAACAAATCCCGGCTATCGATCATTTATGATTTATTGATGATAAACAACATGGGTTTGTAGTGAGTTATTCGTAGGAAGTGTGGAATATTTTGTCGCGGTCAGTTCAATATTGCAGGTACCTGCCACAACGTGTAAATAGACCCTTTGGATGGCCGTGTGAAAAACTGGCACTAGAGGTCGGGGTTTTCCCTGACAACCTTTTACTAAGCTCTTTCTGCATTGTTTCTTACAATTTTTAAATACAAAATCCCTGCCATTTTATGCAAAATTTCTTGAATCGTGTACAACACTGAAATGGCTTCCCATAAGAATGGCCTCTTACGAGCAGGAAACATACCGTACTTCTCAATGTCGTCCATTAATTCGTCCAATCACAGCGCGTAGTTATCGCTACGAATCTGGAATTTGCCGTGTCGCCCACTCGTACAAAAACTGCTCTAACATTGAAATGGCTTCTTACTGTTTTCGTGTGAAATATCCAATCACAATGCATAGTTACGGTTACGGTACGGTTGCGATACGGCACAGAGTTTTTCACTAATACGGAAACTCATCGAGGTACATACATTATCAGGGAGAAATAATTAATAATWATTATTAATTATTATTATTATTTATTAGAGCATACAACTGAATATCGGTGTATATCAGTACCCACCTTCCAAAGAACCCGAGTCTGAATGTGACCGTTGTCTTTGACCCTTATGTTTGTTATCACCGTCTTCGTCTTCGTCGTTGCTTTCTTCCTTGTCGGACGCGATGGACGTGATGGAATTAGTACAGGATAAAGTGGAGATATCGGAGAGGTGAGACCCTGAATCAGGTATCGTTAGAGCGACATCAATGGCTTTCTATGAGGAGGAATCAAAATAAGGCGATATTAAATTATAAAACTGTTGTGCCATGTTCAATATAAGGGTTGCTCACAGTTTCAAGTCGCGTTACATATTTCTTTCAATTTTATCAAACTCTGAAACTATCCATGGGCTGAACGGCTAACACAGATAAAATTGGAATTAAGCATGTTAGGTTTTGCGGAGGGAGGAAAAACAAGAGAACCCGGAGAAAGACCCTCGAATCAAGGGAGAGACCCAACATACTGTACCCACATGTGAAGCCGATTCCTGGAATCCAACTGGAGGCTCCAGAGATGAGCAGCAAGTGTACTACCACTAAACACTAAAAATACTGGTCCGTGTACAATCACCAGTGCCCGTGCTTGGGCAAGGGGGATGAGGGGGAGATGGGGGAGGGTAAGGAGCAAGGGGGAGGTCAGTATTTGACCCCCCCCCCCCCCACAGCCTACAAATAATTCTACACTTAACCCACCTCTACAGGCGAAACAGGAGTAAGAGGTGGCGTAGTCAGGTCTACCAGTTCACCAGCCTGAGGTCGTGTGGTTAATAACTTTTGTCGTTCTTCTCTGACCTTCTGTTTTTGTTCGTTGGTCATGACATTCCACATCAACGTCATCTTGGCGTTCAGCATCTGTTGATTCTCCAGGAACTGATCGTTTGCCATTTGCCAGGTTTGCTTCAGTTCACGATGTGCTGTTTTCTCTTGCTCAAGAAGTTTACAAACTGAACACATAATAAATGATAGGAATTGATTTATTTATTTATCGTCACCACTAAAAACAAATAACAACAACAACAAAGGGAAAGGGAAGGTTTTGGAATGGAAACATTATGCACCACACCTACTTAAAACATGTATTACATCTCTTTTCACTGCTACGTACTGATCAAGACAACAGTTGCAACAGGGAAATAGGGCAATACATTGCCACCAATAAGAGAATATAAAGGTACCCAACAATTTATTTGATTGACGGAAGTGTATTGCCCAATTTCCCTGTCTCAACTGTTGTCTTGATCAGCGCATAGCAATGAAAAGAGTGGTAATACATGTTTCTGCTACTCTCCCCCTGGTATGCATGAAGAGGTTAAAAATAGCAAGGTAGATAGTCATACAGTACCATTATGAAGTTCTTTTCTTAATTTGTCAGAGTCGTCTTGTAGGACACCTAGAACAAGAATGTTTTAAATGATGATAAAAACAACGGAACACATAGACTTGTTGCATTTGTGGTTTATCTTTCTCTATTTCAGAACATGTGTCATTCTCTTGAGAATAAGGTTCTTTGTTTGAGTTGTATTCATATTCATGTGTCTTCTCATGTGCAACTGTTAAACAAAGAAATGATACATGTCATGAGTGACATGTGGTCTGAAATGGGAGAACCTTTACCCATTCATGAATATTTTGTGTGGAATCTTTTTACCTTTCTGTGTGTTGAGAACAGATACATATATCTCAAGATCTGTTCTAGATGCGCGTTCACATTCCAAGTATAGATTTAAATCTTTGACCTACACATACCAGTAAAACAACATAATGCTAATAAGCTTTCATTGTAACAGTGGGAATGAAAGTAGATGAAAAATAGGAATGGAAAGTGGGATGGAAAATGGTAGGAGAAAGAGAAGAGAAAGGAAGGTATAATGGATCTTTTGGCCATAAACAATTCAAAGAGTAATAATTTTCACAGAAATGAAATAAATCTTTTTTAAGGAGCTGGAATTAGGAACATTAATTCAGCCAATCACAGCGCGAGGCCAAAGCTTGACCAATCAAAATGAACCAATGCTTGGATAGGGCATGGCCATGGTTGCAATAGGCAAATCAACACTGCACCAATAATTTGTAAATTTGTTTTTCAATTATAATTTAAAACATTTTTGAATTTGTACAATACCACTGTGTTCCTTGATTACAGACTCATTTACTCAGGGTTAGCCCCATTTCAAGGGTCACATCAAAGTATTCACAAATCCTAATGTAAAATGATGCACAACTTCAACAATACAAACATTTTGAACTTTGATAAACCTTCAATGAAACACTTGAATATTAGACACAAAGTTTAGGCTAATCTTGAGCAATATAGAAGTGGAAACTAGAGTATTTTGAGGAATAAACACTTGCCTTTTCTTGTAGTTCATCCAGACTTACACTTGATTCCTTGTCCATAGTAGGTTTTTCCGCACCCTGTAACTTTTCCTCTGTCGATCTTAACTTTGACTTTAAAAAAGAATTTTCCTACAACAAGAAAATTGTTTATTTGTTGGTTTATTCTTATACTCATTCATTAATTCATCCACTCAGTCAATCAATCAATCAATGCCACTCATCTGACATGCCACTCTCTTTTATTCTAACCTCTTCTAATGCCTTGACAATTGTTTTCCAGCCTTCAGCATCTTCTTGAACCTAGGGATAAGGTTAACGCAATACTATTACTTACAAGAATCTAGTGTTTCCACTAATTGAAAATGAATCCCTGTAGATTTAGTATAAGGGATAAAAATGCCAACTTCAATCCAAAATATTCTGGAAAAAATGGTCTTAAAAATCTATAAGACACACTAAATTAATAACTATAACCAATTTATTTGCATTATAGTGTAAAAGGAGATATAAGAGTTAAACTCTATCAAGAATATCTCCTAAAATAGAATTGGAATTTAGAAGTTGGGAATAATACTCAAGGGATGGTGACAATACTGATGATGGCAACAAACCTTTTTCATGCCTTCCTCCATAGAAACAGGTTCTTTTTCCTTATGACTAGTTGATGTAAGAGAAGTACTTCTTCTTACTACCCCTGCTACTGCATCAGTCATGGCAGACATTACTCCTGTATTCTTTCCATCGTGGCCCAACTTTGCATGCAAATCCTTTAACTGAGCTTCTAATTTTTGGTTAGCAGATATAAGAGAATGTCGCTCGAGTTCAAACTGTTGGGCAGTGGTGTCTCGTGCTTCCTTGACTGCTTCTGCATTGTCAGAAAAAAAGGTTAAGAAAGGTTACTAGATTTATGAAATGTGTTTTTGTCACTCGGTAAAGATTTATATGTTAAGTGTATGCTCGTGCTACATCGAGTGTATAAGCAGATTAAAAAATCTGCCTCAGTTGGGTTCTGGCGGGACTCGAACCACTCACCTCTCGTTTGCTAGACAAGATCTCAAGATTACTAGATTCTTTGTCAAAACGAAAGATTCCTCTGAACTGGTACTTTACTGCATATATATATAATAGCACTGTACTAAACTGTACTGTACTCTGAGCTTAACTGCACTTTACTTTACTCTACTTTACTCTACTGTGCTTAATTGTACTGTACTATTATAATATCTTAAACTTGCTAAAACTTGTTATCACTAATCACCACCACAAGTACAGCAGTGGTGCAGCTCAATGGGGTCTAACTGAAAGCATGTGAAGGCACTTCTGGAAGCTGCTATACAGACTATGTATAACCCTAGATTACAACTCTAACTACTGTACTATATTACTGAGCTGGCCATCTACTGAACTGACAGTATTGTGTGTACTGCTCTACTGTGCTATACTGCACTGTATTGTGATGTACTGTACTATAATGAGCTAAACTGTCATGCCATGCTGTACAAACCTCTCATGATATGCTGTAAAGATGCGATTTCTTCTTGATACTTAGAAGTGAGAGAGCTGATTTCCTCCGACTGTGCACTCTCCAGTACTGATGTAGCAGTGCGCAAAGTCTCACATTCGTTAACAACTTCATCAAATCTTTTTTGTAAGGCTTCCAGCTCCTCTGTTGGTAAAATATTATCAGTCACACCCATTTTAGTAGGAATTCTAGATATTATTCACTCATCATTTATTTATTCAAGGGGTGCCCTAGGGCCCATGTTGCCATGACATCTTACCTCTAAATCTTGGGTTCAATCCCTAATTTTGGCAACAAATGTATGCACAGTTTGTTTGGACTCTCCCATAATTTGAGGTTTATTCCAGGGTTCTCTGGCTTTCCTAAGTCCCCCGGGGAGGGGGTACTCCCCTATATTTGCTATACAGGTGCATGCTGCCAAACAGGGTATGGTTTTCAACGATTCTGCTCTGGAACAGGGTATATGAAATCACACTCGCTCTGGAACAGGGTATTTGAAATCACGCTCTCTCCTCTCTGGAACAGGGTTTTCAGTGTCCTTGCTCTGGAACAGGGTATGAATTTCAGCGATTTTTACTCTGGAACAGGGTCAGGGTTTAGAGGGCTCAGCAGCACATCTCTACCCTAAACGGGCAAGAGTACCCCCCTCTCTGGTTTTCCTTGGTCTTAGCAATATGTACTGCTAGCTTACCAATCAACTGGAATTTAGCAAGCTGAGATTACAGAGTGACAAAAACTGGAGAATCTGGAGAAAATCCATCAATTAAAGGGAGAAACCCAATAAACTTTATCTAAATGTTATGCTGAGTTCAGGAATCCAACCAGAGACCCCAGAGGTGAGTACACTACCACTATTGCTGGGTTTCAATAATTGAAAAATCCTTGAATCTTATTATCTGCTCCAGATGGTGGTCAAATACTGACCACCATGTGTTGTCAACCAGAAAACTCGTGATTCAGTTAATGAACATTCCACATGAAACAGGAAATGGCGTAAAGTGAAACCAAGCAATTGCTGGTGTGCATTTATAGCTATTAATGCCATTTCAGTTGACTTTGACAAAAGACTTGGGTTTGATATCTTTCATCGTGTCAACCAACATGGTGGTCATGTCTTGCGCAACAACCAATGCCACCCTTGATTGAATTTAGGACTATCTAGGAACATTTCATCAAAACTCAAAGATTTGTATCCCAATGAAAGCACTTAATCTTCTATACCTAAACTTTAATACTATTAAAAAAGTATGAACCAGTTACTGGCCAATTAGATCAAGCTCAAATTGCATTATTGCATTCCAGTCTCTTCTGGATTTACGCAAGGTCTTATAATAAGTATTCTTAATTAAATACATTAATAAAATTAATATTGAAAGTTTGGAATAAATTGAGCTAAAATATACAAAGTCTGACTTAATTCGTATAAACTTGTATATAAAGCTTTGAAATAAATTGCTTAAAGCCATTTTGACAACAAAAATATTCTTCCTTGGCTGTAATTTGATGTATGAGGAAGTGATGGGGCAATGTCATGCTAGTTTGAAAGTTTTTGAGTTTATTTTATTAAATGTCGTGAATAAATATCGATATTTTAAATTTATAAGACCTAATTATCTAGGTTGAAGCAAAGAAAACGTTATGCAAGTCTAAAGTTTCCACGAATGAATCGACTTTAAATATCATACTATAGAGCACAAGGGGGAGTGTTACGCTTTCCCCTATAAATGGTTTCCAAAAAAACGTACCCTCTTTGGAGATAAATATGTCCTTGAGCATGGCTCTCTTCTTGCCAAAATCATTCTCGGCTTGTTGTTTTTCTTGTAAGAGTTGTTTTTCCTTCTTCCTTAATTCCAAGACGATGGCCTTCAGGTTATCCACGTCTGCAGATAAAAAACACAATTTCATTAAATTCCTACTCCCCAACCAAAGCCTAAAACGTGCTGAATTTTTCATATCAAATAGAAATAACCTTCGGGAAGAGGTGTCGAGGAAGATTCGAGGTCTTCGTCCATTTTAAAGCTTAGAATTGTGAGGTTTTTTCAAGGTAGATTGTCGATGTTATGTCGGCCATGTTTACCACAGCTAGCCTCGTTTTTGATGGGATTAGTGCTCAGGACCTCTCGTACACGATGACGCCTGGCGATTACTGTCATTTGGAAATTTTCAAAATTTATCCTTTCCATTTTCTTTCACTTTTCTCTTCATCTTTGTTAAAAATCTGTAGGAATTCCATTTGCTTTTAAGGGTTAAACCTTGTGATAACAGTAATATGTGATCGCATGCAAGGATAAGCAGGTTTTCAAGGTGGGTTTGACTGCTTATTTTTTTGTAATGCAGTCATCAGCTTCACAGTTGATTTTGATTGCGTTTGTAGGCGTTTTTTTGAAGCTTTGGTTTTTTAGTTTGCACATTTTTTAAAATCTTTCGTTAATTGCTTCCTCTGAAAGTTAAATATTACAAAGTAAAGTTGTGCTTTTGGAAATTAACTGAACCCCGCATCCAGATATGCGTGCAATATTTGCAGGCTTACATATGTAAAGCTTATGTGTCTTTAGACTTCCCAAAAAAATAACGATAAATTTTAAATGTACTGCATTATTTTAAAAGACAGGTTTATTGTTATTAAATTAGAGTGTCAAAACAGAATCAAATAAACGCTATTGACTGTTGACTTATAAAAAAAAGAGAATTCTTTCATGCATTGTTGGGATGCAAATTCCCTTGAGATATAAATAACAATGTAACAGCCGCCATGTTGGTTGATGTAACAAGAGAAGCTGATGAATGCTTTGTCATCAAACAACATGGCAACTATGACGTGACGTGCACCCGAAGAATTTGTAACTTGTACTTTGTCCTCTTCACTATAGGCATGTAATGTCTATAGTTAAAAAGGTTTTTTGTCATATATTATGAATTCTCTAAAAACAGAATATCTTGGTGTAAGTTAAGTACTTCCTTGCCATATTTTTTCCATTGATCATTTGTCATACTGGTAACCTCTCAGTTGAACTCAAGTCTTAATTGGATAAAAATCCTACTTTTTGTGATTTTGGTTGCTTTGACTGATCAATAACACATTTCCCCCTCAGTTTTTAGCAATAGATATCACTCCAGTCCAAGAAGTAAAACATGTGTATTGTCTTCTTGAGTTATAATGACAATCCTGGCCCAGATGGCTACAAGTTGATCATTGCTTCAAATAGAGATGAGTATTATGAGAGACCAACTGAAGTAGCAAAGTTTTGGGAAAAGAATTCAAATGTCATTGCAGGTAAAATTATGTACCATGTACTTTACTTCATAAAGGTTGGGTATTAATGTATTAAATCCAGAGATAAGCACCTTCTTAGATGAGTCCTATCTGGCAACTCATTTAATGACTGGTGCATAACACTTACAAGTAAACTGCTATATCTTTTTTATAGGCATTGACTTGGTCCCCGGGAAAGAAGATGGCACGTGGCTTGGAATTACAAAATGTGGTAAATTTGGTGCCTTGACTAATTACAGGCAATCAGATGAGTTCATTTCACAAGACATGAAAGGGAGAGGGTTCCTGGTTACCGACTATTTGACTGGAGACCAGACATGTGAGGAGTATTTGACTGAATTGTCATCTAATGGACATCAATACAATGGCTTTAACTTGATTCTGGGCAAGCTGTCTCTTGAGAATGAGTCAAAATTTGGATATTACTGCAACACAGAAGGAAAAGTGATAAAACTCCTTACACCTGGCATTCATGTACTTTCCAATAGAACATTAAATTTTCCTTGGCCAAAAGTCGTTTATGGAAGAGAAAAATTTGAAGAAATAATATCAAAGAATTCAGCAAATAAAAGGGATTTGATTGATGGTTTAATGGGATTGTTGAATGAGAGAAGAAGGTTAGTTTGTAAGTCTTGAATATCAGGATCTTAAAATAACTGAGGAGAAGGTGTGGTTTGTAATAATATCTGCAARTGGTTAGACCTTCAAGTCTTCTCAGACAAGGACTTCAAACCGTAGGCCCTGTCTCCCAACCGTTCCTAACCTATAGTAAATGGGGGACATAAAAAACCCTGTTGAATTATTCATGTAAGTCTAGGGGATTGTCTCATGGTTCAACAGCCTATYCCTGTCTGGAGGCATAACACTAATGTACTAACAAATCACTCATGATTGTAAGCTGCACGGCTGCTAATTGCACCTTAATATGCAGCCCATAAAGTCCTCCACTGGTCATAAATGTTAAGCACATTGAGAGGTTGTATAAATGTGCTATATAAGAACCTCACATTATTATCTCCCATTATTATTATTAGTATTATTAATCTGAAGGTTATAAATGTGTTGTATTGGTACAGCTCATGGGGTCAAATTGTCATAGAGTGACAATTTTACCCCAATGAGCTGTACCAATAAGTTGTGATAACATTAGTGAGTAGCTAATCTAATTCCCCAAAGGAGAGGGCTAGGATGCTTATCACTCAACTTTATCCCACTGGGGTTTCATTATGCATCAGTAATCCATGACCTGTAAGCAATAAGAGTGAAAAGTTCCATAGCTGCTTGATCTACACAGTAAACTTGTTTAAAACGTTTACAATATTTTTTTTATTTCAAGGCATTTTCCCAATGAAGATGACAGCTGTTACACTGGCCCACAGGATGAGCTGCTCTCTGATGCCTACAAAGATGCCTGCAGGGCAATATTTGTTAAATTTGATGGACAAAGTTATGGAACAAGGTCAGTATTCAATATTAATGAACTATGAAGACTATCACCTAATTACCTATCTTAGTGGAGGTCTTGATCTCAGTGGGAAGAGAGATCAGGATGATAGACCAAAAGATAGGTTCCTTATCTTAAAATTGTGTCTTTTCTTTATTTTTTTTGGTTTTATATATTTCCATTAAATTATTGAACATTTCAGCTTGCTTGCATAGGTGTAATAGTTTCCTATTTTATACCACTTGTCGTTCCCATGAAAATAAGATTCTTTGTTTCAGTTGTATCCATATTTATATTCGTGTTTTTACAATTGTAAATTTTATTGCTTTCTGATTGGTCGAGAGCAATGGTATAAATAAGAGGACATATTACAAATCACTCTCGCTCAAAACCGTTTTTCTTTCAAAATTTGTGTGTGGTGTTTTTTTTGTACGTAAATAAAAGGACATTCCATGTTAAACCATCGAAATTTGTTAAATCTTTCCATATGCAACCACCAAACAAAGAAATATTACTCTAGAGAATGACATGTGGTCTGCAATGGGAAAACATTATTCCCAAACTGAAAATGGTCATTGAGAAAACAAAATGTCAATGTACAAATATAGTCATTATGTAGCTTGCGTATCTTGCATGACACAGGCTAGTAAAATTATTAWCAATGTTTTTCAATCTAAGTCAATCAAAACTTAGATCCATTTTCCCCCCACTCAAATGATTTTTATGATGACATACTGGATGATATATGATTGTACTGATTTGTAGAACAAACACAATAATCCTGGTTGATGCCAAAGGTCATGTGACTTACACTGAAAGAACCTTGAGTAATGGTGCTACTGATCCTGATGATGATGCAGACTGGGTTGTCAACTGCCATGAGTTTGATATTATCGAACGCTAGATTTATACAATATTGCTAAAACTTTTGCTACACTCTTCAAAATATCCACAATGCTTTTTGCAAGGTACAGTCCATATAATACAGGATAATAGTTTACGTTAATCTAAAGTTGTTTCATAAAAGTCTACAGTCATTTGTTATTAAAAATATAGAGGATATTACATGGCGAGCGAAGATATGTATGTTATTTACCGGCCAGGAGGTACGGATAGGGAAAAACTGTGCCCGAGGTCTTGAATATACGGACGGACGCCAGGAGTGCCAGTCTGCTGTTGATTTTACCGATGATGTGACTGATGTGTACTTTCCAGGTTAGATTTAGTATAGCTTAGGACCTAGGATTAGAACACAACCACATCAGCTACGCTGTATATAACTTATCGTGTATAAATAAATATTATTATTATTATTATTATTATGTGTAGACCTAGTAGTTTATGGCATTCAGTTTGCTTGATTTGAGATGAGTCAATAAATAAGGGATATTTGTTTGCCGTCTTTTGTCTTTGGTCTGGTGCAGATAGGCATCATTTCAGTTTTATCCTTATTGATGATTAATTGGTTTTCTTCTATCCAGGTTTTTAGTGTCTTTAGGTCATTGTTCAGCTGTGTTTCAATTTCCTTTGTATTTTATGTGTAGCATATAAAGTAATATCATCCGCACACATGTCTATGTTACTGTTATGAATATAGAGTGTTAGGTCGTTCATGTAAATTGTGAACAGTAGTGGAGAGAGTATCGAGCCTTGTGGGATACCGATGGCCTGTTGCGTGCGTTCTTTTGAACGTTTTCCTTTGAAAATGACAGTCTGATGTCTTTTGTCGAGAAAGGAACGTAGTAGGTTCATGGAAGTATTTTCAATGTTGTAGCACTCCAATTTGTTCAGCAGAAGTTGGTGGTGTATCATGTCGAACGCCTTGCTGAGATCTATTATTGCTGCAGAGTTGATGCATCCCTTGTCCATGTTTACAAGAAAGGTATCTGTTAGTTTCACCAACAGAGTTTCACAGGAATGCTTGGATCTAAAACCAGATTGATTATCGCATAGTAGGTTATATTCGTTAAGGTACGATGTCAGTTCGTCATGGAGATGTCTTTCCATGATGTTGGATATTATTTGGTAGCACAGCTATAGGCCTGTAGTTGTTTCGGTCATTGATGTCTCCTTTCTTATAGATGGGGCATTCTTTAGCATGCTTGAATTGAGATGGAAATATTCCAGACCTTATAGAGGTGTTAATGACGCTGGTTAGTGGTTCTGCAATGATTGGAAGAGAAGCTTTAAGCAATTTAACACTTATTTCATCGAGTCCAGTTCCTTTCTTGTCAGGCATTTTCTTTACCTGCTTAGTGACAAAAGTGCTGTCGATTGTTGAAAAGCGAAGTGAAATATTTGCAGGCTTATTTTTGTTGATGAAGTCAACAATTTTGTTGTAATTGGGTTGACCTGATAGTGTTGATCTTTGATGTATAGAGACGTAAAGTGCAGGTTGAATTGGTCTGCTATTTCACTGTCTGATAATTTGCCTTGATTAGATGGTCCTATGTTAGATGATTTAGGATTATTCAGGCATTTTAGATGTTTCCAAAGTTCTTTTGTGTTCGTTTTATTGTTGTTTAAGGTGTCTTGGAAGTACGTTCTCTTAGCCTTGCGTGTTTCACTGCGAACTTTGTTTCAATGAATGCGGTATACTTCCCATTCATTGGAGTCTTTTGGGTGTCGTCGAGCCCCTGCAAGAAGGTTGTCCTTTAACTTTTTCAAGTTACTTAGTTCACTGCTGAACCATTTTGGTTGTTGATTAGTTTTAACTCAGTCGTAAAGGTTTTTGTAGGTTGGATTCATATTATGAAACTCAAATTGACTCATCAAGCTTTAAAAATAATTTTATATTTTCCTTAGCTTTCGACCGACACGGTCATCCTCAGAGGGTTTTGTTAATATTGTAACGTATTTTAGTTCTACGCGATCAAACGTTGTACATATGCGCGAGCAAAAGAATCGCGCGCACAAACCTGAAAGCACGAGCATTGAAAATCACAAAAGATTTATGTAATTTGCTGGCAGAATTCTGCCACGGTCTCTATTAAAAATAATGATCTTTTGCTTTGATATCTCACATGCTTCCAGCCACTTTCTTTGGTTCCATCTTTGTTCTTTTTTAACGAATGAAATGTTATCCCATTGGATTGAGTGCCCCGTTTCATGTGCATGCTGGGCTAAGACTGATCTTTCTGCCTTGTTCAGACGCACAGCCGCCTGATGTTCTTTGCACCTAGTTCCAAGAGCTCTGCTTGTTTCCCCGATGTACTTGATACTACATTCATCGCAAGGAATGGAATAAATTACTCCAACTTGCTTCTCCTGGGGGACCTGGTCTTTTGGTCTAGATATGACATATTATATTATTTTTAAAAGTTGATGAGTCAATTTGAGTTTCATAGTTTTAACTCTTTTTTTCCTTTGCTGGTACATGGTTGTTTACGATATCCATAAAAAGGCTATAAAATGCTCCCCATTTGTCATCCGGGTTGTCAAATAAATATATAGTGTTCCATCAAGAGAATATGAACTAAGAGAAGGAATCAGTGCCCTATCATGTGCACACTTTGATGCTATTTTTTAGAATCTATTCTAAAAATATCATCCAATGATATCATTTATTTGATCGTTTGACTTTCTGCTTGCGCATAGTACGCGCGCGCTCTACGCTGTTTGCTAACGTTTTCTTTGTGCTTTTCTTATGTTCAAATGTTCAAATCTGCCCCAAGATGACGATGTAGGTCGAAAGCTTTGGAAAATAAATTTAAAAATACTCCAGAAAGTTGAACAAATTACTACTTCAATTTTCTGCCAAGCTTTCGACGTGCACATTCATATTCAGGGCAGAGTCGAAATAACGGAAAAACCCCCAAAACGTAAGCAAACAGCGTAATGCGCGCGCAGTAAACGAGCGTGCAGAAAAACAAATGGTTTAAAAATAGCATCAAACTGTGCACATGATGGTTACAAGGCTATATAGGGGGAATTCCTTCTCTTAGTTCATTTTCTCTTGGTTCCATGCCACTATGGGACAGTTGTTAAGTCCTCTCTGAATTTCTTTGCGTCAAAATGTTTAAATGATCTGTATTCTATGGTTTTATGTCCTGATGGGTAAAGGATCTTTCCATTAAGTTTTCTGACAGCACAGATAGGGCGGTGGTCTGAGAGGCCAACGTCAGGTACTTTTATATCTAGAACATTGAAAGGCTCGTTGGTATAAATATGATCGATGCACGTGCCAGACGGGATGCGGGTAGACATTGGTTAATTGGAGGTGTATATTGTACGATATTCACCTCTGAATCTCGGAATATTGAGTCGGCAACAAAATGGCATCTGCCTACGGTGGCCCGTTAGGGCCATGCCTGATATTTTTTGAATTTGTATGTGTTGTTTTTTTTTATTTCGTGGTTTTCATTTTCGTTCTTCTCTTTTTGGGGGATGCTTTGTTTTTCGCTAAATGAAAAGCATGAACAATTAAATTCCAAACCCGAGATATCGACTTATAACTCGAGATATCGACTTATAACCCGAGATATCGATTTATAACCCGAGATATCGACTTTAATATCCCACGTGTTTGTCGATGATGCGCCCACAATATCTTTGTACAGTGGCGTTACCAGCGTGTCTTCAAGATGGTGGCTTCTGGTGGTGGAAAAAAAAACGGATTCCCAAATTGGGAATTTGTTGGGAATTTCCTTGAATTTCCAACGAATTCCCATCCAATTCCCAGAGAGAACGAAATTGGGAACGTGGCACTGATTCCCAATGTTAGTTTGTTGAGAATTTTGTTTTTCTATTGGGTATTAGAAGAAAATTCCCAACAATAAATCCCAACGTTGGTGTTCGAATTGGAATTTCAAGGAAATTCCCAAAAATTACCAATTTGGGAATCCGGTGTTTTTCCCTGTGCGGTACGGGGGTGAGCATTTAGTTAGCGTAACCAAAGCCTAGATTGACGTACTGAACAATATAGGTATCGCGATCACTTTCTAAGTCACCTAAGGCAAGAATATAAGATGGTAGGGCTCCACTAATAACCAAAAGCAAGGCAAAAGAACAATAAAATACACTTTTCATTTTGTTCCTTTCCAAAACACGAAGACGCTGGTCCGCGACACTGTACAAAGACATTGTTGGCTCATCATCGACAAACACGTGGGATATTAAAGTCGATATCTCGGGTTTTTTGAAGCTTTTTTTGGCTTGCACGTTTTTAAAAATCCATCGTTAAAATTGTTTCCTCTTAAAGTTAAATATCGCAAAGTAAAGTTGTGCTTTTGAAAATTAACTGAAACTAACCTGCTTCACATTCGGAATTTTCTTCGTATTTACGAAGAAAATTCGGGATGTGACGCAGGCTAACTGAACCCCGCATCCACGTCGTTTCAGCATTTGTTACGGTGCACTAGAGAGTTTAAGATTCTCGTTTACGGCAAACGTGAAACGTCAGTTGACCATTGAAAAGTTCTTTAAAAATAGTGAAAAGGAATCGCAAAAATCTCCAAGTAGTAAATAAACAAAAGAATACTTTACAAAAGGTAAAGTGAAATGTGGGGAAACGATGAAAACGTGGTCACGTTTGCCGTTTGCGGGAAGGAAAAATGGGAATCTTACATGTAATCTGCCTAATATTTGCAGGTTTACGTATGCAACGTTTATGTGTCTTTAGACTTCCCAAGAATAGAGTGCACTCTAACGATAAATTTTAATTATAACATAACTAAGATATAACGCGCGCTCTGATTGGTTCACCACATATGAAGAAAAAATGTATGGAATGGAGCACGCTGGTGACGTCAAGTTGGTGAAAATTCGGTGAAAATATTGCAAGCATTCAAGAAGCATTCAGATAAAACTAAAAAGACTACCAACTGGTCTACCTTTCTGTACATTTAAAGGTAAAATATAACTATTGATTTCCTTTCCATAAAAAAGTTTATAGCGTATTTGTTTGAGATCAAAAGATATAACTAGCTAAAAACTAGTGTGAGCTGCGTCGGTGTTTCTAATAAACAGTAATGATGAAAAGGTAAATTATACACCGTGAAAAGATGAAAAAACTTACTGACGTTTCGGACGCTAGTCCTTCGTCGGAGTAAAAGAGATTAAGTTTGAGATCAAGTTTGAGATTGTTTGAGATCAAGTTTGGCTTACTAAAAAACTCGCCCTTCCACCGGCCAGCTTACTACAGCGAAATCAAAACGTCTTGCAGTTGAGAAGTCAATTAGTTCAGTTTTTCTCGCTCAATCCGCCGTACAGGTCACCACAGCAGTCCAGCAAAACACCACGATGCTTACTGGAGTCCAAGTAAAGCCACTGATGCATTCTTTCGGACTCAGTTTTCGAAAACATCACAGTACAAAATGTTTAGATAGCTTGTGATGCAGCCAAGCGTCAACGAAATCGCTAAATCGACTTCTCAGTCAAATTAACTTTAAAACTTTC